TGTACACAGTTATTTCCCATATATTCAAAAAACATTTTCCAATCTTCTCTAAACATATGTTATTCTTGTTCTCTTATTCTATACGTTAAGTCTGCAAGCTGCACACTTTCTGTCAACTTAAGTTGCCATTCTTCTTTGGTTGTGACCACACTTGTTTTCCATTTTGGGGCTAACAAAACACGGGCCACAGTACTGGCGTACATAAACGACCTTTTCTGACGCCTGGGAATTTCAGTCTGAATTATCCCCAATGAAAAGGAGCAGTTTCTGACATGAAGCACCAATTCAGTGGGACTGATCCAGCTCCCATGGGGAGTCAGGGCATCGTAGAGCAGTTAAGAGACCTGGAAGGAACACCATGCATTGCATAGACAGGAGCAACATTGGTCTGACTCTGGCACCTGTGAGGTCATGTGCCCTTGGCAAGTGCCCCCACCTGGCTATCTGAGCTAGTCTGTGAATCGGGGAATCGCTTTTAAGAAGGGTAGAGCCTTGATGAGGATTTGGAAGAAGTCGTCTTCATATATCAGAGTGAGACAGCAAGCAAACTCCTAAAGTATTTTAGATAATTCAGGAGGGATCACTGAGAGTCAAGATCTCATCATTATCCTGAGATACATGATGGAAGATCCATGTGCCCATCGAGACACTTCCTGATTAAAGGAGCTGAGATGATATACCCTTTCCTGCACAGAAATTCCAATGTACGATTGTGTTGAACCAAATGTGAATGTCTCCGACCTCCAGACAGAAGCAGTTGCTTGGAATCCAGCTGTTTTTTTGTGATCCTGCAGGGTGCTTCCAAGGGGTAAAAAAAAAAGAAAAGCAGTTAGTCTTCCTGGTCTTCCTAGAAGACCAAAACTTCAATAAGGAGTGGGGAAATTTTATAATGTATCTTAAAAACCACTATAAGCAGCTGAAAACATTAGCAGGATTGCAATAACACTTGTATTGTAGCAAGAACTATGGATACAATGGAGTTATATACAATGGAGAGCCAGTGTGGTGTAGTGGTTAAGAGCAGTAGTCTTGCAATCTGGGGAACCGGGTTCGCGTCTTCGCTCCTCCACATGCAGCTGCTGGGTGACCTTGGGCCAGTCACACTTCTCTGAAGTCTCTCAGCCTCACTCACCTCACAGAGTGTTTGTTGTGGGGAAGGAAGGGAAAGGAGAATGTTAGCTGCTTTGAGACTCCTTAGGGTAGTGATAAAGCGGGATATCAAATCCAAACTCTTATTATTATTATTATTAAAAAATTGGTTTGTTAAAAAAAGATCCAGTAGGAAAGGTTTAATAATAGAACCCGTTGAGGGGAAGTTCGGAAGTCCAGAGATTTGGGAGAATCTTGTAATTTTGGACGTGTGCTGTTATGATTGTAAACTTAAATATGTAAAACCAAAGAAAAATTATCACAAAGAAAAAGAATCTGTTAGTTTTTATTTCATTAGCAGAGCCTCGTAGTAGTTTGTTTAGTGAGAGTGGTGGGTGGCACTGTCGTCTAAACCACAGAGCCTAGGGCTTGCCGATCAAAAGGTCGGAGGTTCGAATCCCCGCGATGGGGTGAGCTCCTGTTGCTCGGTCACTGCTCCTGCCAACCTAGCAGTTCAAAAGCACGTCAAAGTGCAAGCAGATAAATAGGTACCGCTCTGGTGTGAAGGTAAACGACGTTTCCGTGCACTGCTCTGGTTTCACCAGAAGCGGCTTAGTCATGCTGGCCATATGTCCCGGAAGCTGTACGCCGGCTCCCTCGGCCAGTAAAGCGAGATGGGCGCCACAACCCTAGAGTCGGTCACGACTGGACTTAACTGTCAGGGGTCCTTTACCTTTTTAAAGTACCACACTCGTCCAAATGCAAGACCCCACTGATAGCCTGCACCTGTTAAATCACAGCTTCAGGTTTTATACAAGTCAGGTTTGGGGAGTGGGGAGTGTGGCCTCTATTCAGACCAATATGGTAGCATCTGTGATTCCTTCTTCATTTATTTATTCCCCTTCACAAAAAGGATGGCCAGAGGAAACAGGCTGCAATTTACCTAGACAAACTGGACTCCATAATTTTTAGCTGTTGCTATAGATGTTGATCCCCTTCATGGATCACTGCCTTGTCATGGTGAAGGGGCCTGAATAACTCAGAGAAGCTATGAGCTACGCCCTGCAAGGCCACCCAAGATGGACAGGTCATAGCCGAGAGTTTAGACTAAATCTGGTCCACCTGGAGAAGGAACTGGCAAACCACTCCAGTATTTTGCCAAGAAAATTCCATGGACATAAAAAAGGAGAAGCTTTGAGAAGAAAGTGAGAGTTTCCAAGGCATGCTCTGGTTCATGGGGTCACGGAGAGTCGAACATGACTAAGACGACTAAACAACAATAGATTTTGATAGTATTTGGGGTAACGACACAACTTATTCTGAATCCTTGGTTAGGGTGACAGAAGAGCAGAGAAAATCCGTATGCTCCTTAACCATCCCATGTGCTCTGCCACTAACTGGGAATCACCCTCTCTTTGTGTATTTAGTTATTTAGTATTTTTTTTACACTGCCCACGTAACAATGTTCTCCGGGTGGTTAAAAATGAAAGATTACAAAAATAAAAATGAACAAACATCCTTAAAAAATCAATACAGAATAAAGCTAAAGTGCAAAACTAAATAAGTACATAAAATATATTTGGAGAGTGTCCAAAGTCTTATTTCTCAAAATATTAGATTTTATTATCTTCCTCCTGTTGGAATTCTAAGTAATTCTGGGCAGACAGTGTCTCTGGGTTGCATAGCCAAACCTGCATGTCTCTCTCATTGCACATCGCACACTATCAGTTGTACATACAGCTGTATATACAGAGGTATAATATTTTAAAATATTTTATCCACCATCGTGGCACTGTACTCTTAATTATTTGGGGGAGGTTAGCAAGAACCAGTGAGTATCAGTTTGGGATCAAAAGAAATGTTCTCTTTTTTCAACAGGGCAAAAATGGCTTTGCCAGCTTTAATTGTAAAAATAAAATTTTAATAAAGTGTTTGCTAAGAGCCTTGTAGCGACATATCTAAGGCAAAGTCCCTTGAGGATTGCACTGTGAGGTTTCCTGCTCAGAGTCTCAGATTTGTGAAACAGCCCTCAGAATTTATCCTAGATTTCATTCTTTCTGACTTAAAGCTTCCTGTCAGCATACAGAAAATGTCCCTTACCCAGACACTTCAGTGGTTCTGTCCAGTTTTGTCCATTGCATATCATCCATCCAGATCCTTCCATCACATAACCAGGGTTGCACTTGTAAAATGCCCTTATGCTCTCAAATTCCTGAAACTGGGTTCTCACACTTCTTACAGTCTCTGCAAAGTCCACTTCAGGTGGTTCTCCACAAACTGGAATGATATTTAGTGCCAAGATTCCATTATTATTATTATTATTATTATTATTATTATTATTATTATTATGAAATTTCATTTCCAGGATTCCGTCTTTATTACAATTCAATAAGCATGACAGCTTATGGTTTTGTTTTTTACAGAGCCCTCAACAATAGGTTTTGTGCACGTTCCTGGTTACTTTGTTTTGCTCCCCTTGTGTATTGCTATTATTTACCCACCCCTCATCCTAATCCATCCCACAGCAGAAGACCTTGCAGACGTACGAGGTGTACTGTGGGCTCATGAACCACTTTTAAGAAAGGACAGAAAATTAAAAGAGTTGTGAGGAAAGGAGACAACAGGGCAGACAGATAGTCACAGCTGGGGGAATTATGGGAGAAATGTATGTTGAAAATGCTGTCTATAAGAATAAAAGACAATTATTATAAATTATTTTGGGCATGATATTTAACACCAGTCAGATTAAAACAAATAAACAAGGAATATTCGGTGTTATGTTGGAGGGGATGCCGAGAAACAGGGAGTTATGTTCACATGTGGTGGGGGTGTAAATATGTACAATATTCTTTTGGGCAAAGGGTATTTAAGGAGATAACAGAAATCACTGGGTTAAAGCTGACTGAAAGTCCAGAGGTAGCATTATTATCAATTAACGATGAGGTGGAAGGTTCACAGGCTATGATGCTCACAAATTTATTGACAGCTGCACGAATAATTATAGCTAGAAAGTGGAAGGGGCAAGCAGAGTATAAAATGGAAGAATGACATAAAAAGGTATGGAATATAGTGATTAATGATAAATTAACATGTGCCATTAAGGTAAGACAGGGAATATGCAGGAGAAATGATTTTGGGGAGATATGGAGGGTGTTTGTAGGATTTCTACTGTTAAAACAAAAAAGGGTCAAACCACCGCAAGAGGTGTTGAAATTCTGGGAGGCTGGATAGTTACAATGGAATGGTCTCAGTGGTGGGGCGCACATGTTTATTCTTATTTATTTATGATTATTTTACGGAGGAGGAGGAGGAGGAGGAGGAGGAGGAGGAGGAGGAGGGACAGAATCTGTAGGAGCAATTGGACAAACTGGCTTTCAAATGTAAAATTGGGATAACCTTGAGTATTTCAATAATCCAAGAGGAATTATCAAGTGTTGAAAGCTCATTAACCTGAGATGCATGATGGGAGATCCATGTGTCCGTCGTTACACTTCATCACTGAAGGAGCATGGAGGATATATCGTTCCCTGCACAGGAATTCCAATGTCCCGTTGTGTTGAATCACATGGGAACGCCTTCGGCCACCAAACAGAAGCAGGTGTTTGGCATCCAGCTGCTCTTTTGTGATACTACAGGGTGCTAAAAGAAGAAGGAAAAAAGGGCAGGTGTTTTTACTGTAGTTTGGGTAGCCTAAACTCAACCTAGGAATTTACGGATGGTCCAGCTTTCATCATGTCAATGGGAGAAAACAAATAGGACGTTAAAGGCTTCATTGTGTCTG